CCATACTTGATCCATGGCTTTTCTCTGATTTTCCATACCACCTTCTTATTCTGCATTAGCAAGTAGATAATAAATAGAATCTCTTTTTTTTAACCTATTCTCTTCATTTTTTCTAACAGAATATTTATATTTTGTTGATGACCTTGATTCGACCTTAGCTAATTTAATTGCCTCTTTTGGAGCTAAACCCTATTTTTTAGATCCAGAAGCTCTAATGAAATGTATTGGGTAATTATTGTAGCAGCTGATGCTGAAATTGGTTAATGCTGAGATTTTAAATATTTTAATATTAAATTTTAAAATTTTTTGGGGCCTTTTGTTAGGGTTTTTTTTCTTAGGGTTAGGTTAGGGTTTTAGGGTAGTTTTATTAATAAAAGAGTATAAATAAATTTTAGTAGGTATTGTAGATTTAAATAGAGGCCCCCAATTTCAGCATCAGCCAATTTCAGCATCAGCTGCCACAATTATTAAGATAATTTATTACTTCTAGCAAATACTTGATCCATGCTCTTATTGATTTAGGATTCAAAGTTATACTTTCAACAGCATACTGAATTTTATAAAGTATTTCAGTGAGTGTCTTACAAATCTGTCTACAATCACAAGTCCATGATAACTATATGGACCAATAGCTTGAAATATGACATTATGTGTCTCTATTAGTTGAGTAATTTCACCCATGAATTCTTTACCCTAATCATATTGCAAAAGAGTTGGATATGTAAGAGGATTATTAAAATTATTGTAAATCTTTTTAAATGATTTAGCAACCTCTAAACTATTTTTGGATTAAAGGAGAATAGCGCATTTGAAACATGATACTATGTCTATAATAGTGAATACCTATTTATATGTCTTTTTATTAATGGTATTATTTGTAAAGCACAACAAATCACACATATGCATACAATTTGGGCGTAAAATTTTACCATAACTTATTCTGGAAATATTTTTTGAAAGTGGTGTATATACTTGCCAGCTACTTTAATTATGCAACTAATCACAAATTTTTTTATATAGAAAACTGTATCCTGAATCTTTGATAGCTTTATATAATTTTTGAATATTAGAATAGTAACTAGTTAAGTTATAATAAATTAACTAGCAAACAAGATCTACTTCTTCATCAGTACTAATTATGATACTAGGTTGGTTCATTTTTGATACATTTTACTATATCAATAAATTATTATTGGCAAAGTTTCCAGAAGAGTCGATATATTATAGGCTTATATAATATCATCAAATATGATAATATATCCAGCTAGTGATACAATCAAAAAATTCAAAAGTGCTTTATCAGCAATACAAAATCGAGTTAGCAAATTGCAACAAGATCTAGACTTAAAAAAGGATTATATTGAATATTTCGAAGAAGAAATTTTAATTCAGGATAAAGATCTAGATCCATTATATTTGGAAGTATCTAATCTTAAAAAACAGTTAAAAAAGATGCTTCAAGATTTTGAAAGTTGAGAGAATTATATTTATTATATAGAGAAGCAGTTAGTAGTTTTTTAGAATGAAAATGATAAACTTAATGAAAAAATACTTATTTTATATAAAAATTTCTATAATGCTATAGATATGGCTCAACAACCAGAATCGCACAGATTATCTTTACTAGAAAATCAAGCTACAATCCAGAAACATAGAATTACATAAGAGGTTAATAATATTAGATAGTATTTTCAAAGCCCAATTATAATAACACTTACAATTAATAGTATTGTGAATTATCTTAATATAATTTTTGATACTAGAAATAGGTTTGAAAGATTAGTAGTACTGTAGATATATATCTATAGGCAAATGCTTGTGCAATTAATGCAAAAAATCAAGTAGCCAATTTGCAAACCCAGTTAGCTAATTTACAAAACCAGCTAGCTATGCTTCAACAGGACTTAGCCTGTGAACAATAAAGACAATATAATACTGAGATAGACTTGAATTTAATGACTATAGCTTATAATAATAAAGCAAAAGAATACTATCATTGGTGGTTCTTATATCGTAATAAAAATAAACAGGTTAGTAAATTAATTTAAAAAAAATTTGCATTGCATCTCTTAAATAGATAAACCCAACAGCAACTACAAGATTGTAAAACAGATGGGGCAATTACTATGCATCTCTTAAATCTTATAACAAATCGATATACCAAATAGAAAAATAAATGCAAGACTCTAGAAAATGATTTATTACTTGCCAATGTTTAACTAGATAACAAGTGGAGTAAGTGGAAAAATCGTGCTTAAAATTCTGAACAATTAATAAATAATTTACAAGCACAAATTTTATTGTTATATAATAATTCACCAAATATAGCTACTATTGCAGGAGACTTAACCAGTATTGCATCATTAATTGCAGAGATTCCAAATTATAGTAGACAAATTCCACTAGATGAATGATATCAAAGAATTAATCAAATATTAACTTTACCATCAATTATGGCAGCTAGCTTCAATAATGCACTCCAAACAGATATTTTAAAAAGTAAGATGGCTAGAAAATATACAAATATACCTGCTCAACATGCCAGTAATAATATTGATACCCAGCTCATTTTATTGTTTGGTTGCATTATAAATACTATATCAAACAGAAATAGTTAGTACACAACAAGTTGCTACTCAAAAATTAGCACAAAAGAAATTCTTACTATTTGATAATCCAGAAACATATGAGGCTAGAATCTGTCCTCTTTTATTAGGGATTGCTAATGACAATACCAATATCTTAGAACTTCTTAAGGGTCATTTATCGGAAGAGCTTTATACTTGGATAAAAATCACTAACTTTGCTAGCATTAATGCATTTTTTACAGAACTTAAAAATATATAGTTAAAACATCCTTCGAATTTGTATAAAGGCTCTATTCCTGACCAAATTTTTCAAACTTTAGCTATTAATATACAAAATAAATCACATTTTGATAGTAGTAGTATATCTCGAGCTAAACTAGATAGTATGATAAAATCACAATTAGCTTTAGTATTAACTACTTCTATTTAGTTTTCACAGCTCCAGAAAACACAAGCTTTATAGTCTCAGCAAAAGCAACCTGATTTCAGTGACTCCTTAGAGTACTAGATAAATATATACCAAAAAGACCACCAGATAGGTATGGTATAAATTCTGAAAAATTTATTTATTGTGATCTTATAAACCAACTCCTTTAGCCAACCAAATTATAGAATCTTTAGCTAATGATCTTTATAAAAAAGTGTCAGATATGTTTTTAGCAAAGCCAGTGCAATCAAAGAAAAATATTAAAATCAACTCTGATAAAGAACTGGCTGATTATATGGATAAATTATCAATAAATAAGGCTTTATTAAAAGGTTTCGAGCCAGGAGTTCATGCTATTATCAAATCATCCAAACACCGTTGTTCAAATTGTAATAGAACCAGATACAATTTTCGCAAGTGCTCTAGAAAGAAAAAATCCAACTTTAAAAAATCTAGCAAGAATAAAAAAGGTAAGATTAATACAGTTACTTTAGATTTGGGTTCTGATTTAGATTCAGATACTAATAGCTCTTCTGGTGACAACTCTGGATCTGATTTCGAGAATATCTCCTCTGATGCCAAATTAGATCATAGTCTTAATATACACATCTTTAAAGCAAAAAAAAAAGTAAAGAAAAAACATAGCACCAGTACTTCTTTACAAAAGAAAAAATCAATAACTCACAAGTCTTATAAGATAAAAGACGCAAAAACATCTCCTTTAGTATTAGTTCCTATTTCTAAGAAAGAAAAGCAAAGTTTAAAGTCCCAGTCATAGGATGAACAATCTCGCTTAAAAAAAATTATTGAAAAAATTATTGAGAAAAAGCTTAATGAAAAGTTTGACACTATTTTATCCCCTTTTTTTCAGCCAGAAGCTAAAAATTCTAAAACATTAGCCAATTCTAAAGATGATGAGTTCATCAATGACTCTATAGAAATAGATTTTGTTCAGAGAAAAGAAACCACCACAGATATTATTATCACTACTAAATGCAAGATCAAATGATTAATAATCCCAGCGGTCATAGTAGATCCTGGAGCAAATTTTCCAATTATGTCTGAAAATATAGCTGAATGATTAAAATTAGATATTGATACAAGAGAAAAACATAATCTTAGAGATATTGCTACTGTTTCTACTGAATTACTTAGAATTGTTTGCAATGTACCAATAAATTTTGCCCAAAGTTGTACTATATGTTCTAATTTTGCAGTAATTAAATATCCCAAACCCATGCTAATTTTGCCAAATACTCTTCTAGATAAATATGATTACGATTTGCTCGCATTGAAACGTGAATTAAAACTTATATATAATAGTAAAGAGTATTTTATTCTGATAAACATGCATAAGGTTAAGAATAAGTTCGAAGTAAATTGTGCTACTATATCTTAGAATAATAGGAATAAAATTCTATTGCTTTGCAGGACTAAAGGGACAACTATAAAGAGTTATAAGGCTTTAGTATCTGATCAAATTTCACAGAAGGTCAATAGTAATAAAAGTGATAATAAACTATTAGAAGAATAGCATACTCTTGCAGGTTTTAGCCTAGATACTAAAAACTCGACTTTAGCAGAGCAAGTACCAAAGGTGCTAAAAAAAAATGCATGAGTTATAAGAAATTAGAAAATTGCTATATGAGGTACTCGAATCTAATATTAAATTAATTGAACTCAATAAAAAATTGCGGGTTTGCCAAAGGCAGTCACATAGTGGTTATAAAAATGAATCTGATAATTTAAATAAAAAATTACCAATATCAATATAAAGAAAGCAAAGATAGATTAGTTAAAATTTGCTAAAAGCAGTCACTTTGAGGCTAAAATCCTTTTTGATTCATATTCAGCTTCTTTTGTTTCTTTATGATTATGTTCGATTAAAGTATATAGATCATCTTTTTTTGTTATAATTTCAGCAGTATTAACTTTACTATCTACTGTGTGACTCTCCTGATGATAATATTAAATAGGTCAGAAATTCAATTAGTCTTAGATCTTAGTTTTTTTCTCTTTATCTGTATATCAGAAGTAACAATAGGAATTTCTACAGAATGTGTAATATGATTGATAGATCGAGTTTTTATGCTCATATCAGTTTTATTAATCATATTGTCTCCACCAATATTTGATTGCAATATCACTTCCCTAGAATCTATTAGAGAATAGTTTTCTCTCTATATTTGATATACACGCCTTGTTAATATTTTATATTTGATAACCATAGCTTCTGATGCATGTTTTATTTATTTATTTTTTTTTTTAAATATTAAGGTGACTACTTAGGTCCCCGGCACTTAGCTTTATTTAGGTAATTATGATATTACATCAATTTCACGAGAATACAACTAGCCACACGTGTACTTTTGGTACCTAATTTAAGTAGTCTGCCTGGGTTCTACACTAGCCGCCATACCTGCAACCTAACTAGAAGATTACCTATTTAAGCTCTCTGATTATTTACTAACGAGCTGATGCATGTTTTATCAAATTTCTAGCATTAATAATATCTTGTATATTATTATCTGATAAAGAAGTTGCATCAGATCACAGATATCGAATTATTTTTTCAGAGTTTTGAGTTACGATCTATTTATAAAAAATAAAAAAAATATTTAGATATAAATTCGAAAGTTTTTCAATCTAGTTTCAATATATATTTAGACTATTCAGTAAATATCCAATTTTTTTCAATATATTTAGATCATTCGGTTAACATCTAATTCTATTTTGGTAAATATTTAATTTAGATATATTAGTTAATATTTAATCTATATTCAGTTAATATTTAATTCTATTTTGGTAAATATTCGATTTATAAATATCGATTAATATCTAATCTTTATTCGATTTATTCTTTTTTATTAGTATTTGATTAATATCTTCGGTTAATATTTGATTAGTATAACCACAAGCAGTGCAATAAAAACTTACTATTTTTTGTGTTTCAGTAGAAAGGTGGATATTGTAAGATTTAATTTGAGAATGTGAAGGCATTATATCAGGTGATTTCTTAATTTTATTAAGTGCTATAGTATTATTAATTGGTATCTCGCTACATAAATCAATAAGGTTTTCAGTATTAGGTTTCTTTTTTTCTACTGTTAAATTTCTACTTATGGATCCCTGAAAAAAGAATCTTGTTCTGATATAGATATATTCTGATTTATATTAACTGTGAGGTCTATAGGATATACTTGTTCTCTGCATATTTTATAAATACGATTATTTGATATTTTATATTTCTTAGCTAAAATTGATAATGCATTCTTTGTCCCTCTAGTATCTATAATCTCACGAATTGCTTCAGAAGAAAGAAGAGTTGCATCAAATCTTAAATATCTAGATATAGTTTTATTATATACAGTATATAGTTTTTGATATCAGAAGTTTGTAATTTATAGATATTATTAATATAAGTTTTTTTTTTTTTTATAACTTTGGCAGTCTTGTCTTCACTTTATTAGGCTTTGTAATAATTCTTTAAACTATTAAAATTTTCCAAGGAGTTAAGCTCTTCGGTATCTAAATTACAAGTGGAGACTCACTCGGTTGCTCACTGAGTACCTATGTGTGACTTGCTATAGTAAGATTTGCCTCTATACTATCTTATCCTGCATTTGGCTTCAATAGTACTTCAACAGCAGTCTTTACCACTTGTCAAGACTATATGTTAACTTTTCACCACTCTGAACATTGGTCATCTTCAATCCAATTTAGTACTTCTTTCTTTGAGATTTCTAATACCAATTCTCACCTCATGTTCTCTTTTTTCTTCTTACTCTTTTCTTTATTAGTTTTTTTTGCAGGATCCGCTTTGGGGCCTCGTTTTTTCCTCCCTTCTTCTTCTTGTTTCTTTTCTTGAGATTTTCGTAAGACCCTCTCTTTTCTTTTGAAGCAATACCATTTTCTTTTTCCCATTCTTGTACCAACTTGCATCTTGGGATCCATATTTTTTTATACACCTTTTTCATCCAATTCTTCCAAAGTTTTACTATAAAGCTCTTCGTCTGGTTGTTAGAATTAAAATAAAATCTCAACTCCTTAAAGTCTTTTATTGTAACTAGATCTCTAATCCATCTTTTTTTTCTTTGGATTTCTTCAGATTTACTTCCTTTTCTTGACATTGCTAATATATGTTCTTTCTTTTTCTTTAACCTTTCTGTATCTTTAATTTCTATAAGAGTCACCTCTACTTCTTGCTCTTCTATACTGTGAAAAAGGTTTATTGATATCTCACAACTTGCCAGGTGTTCTACAGTTTCCTTTTCTTTTTTACATACTATACATTTATCTGTTTGGTATACTTCTGGTCTTCTTTGATTAAGCTTTTCAAGTACTGGAAGCATGTTATTTATACATTTAATTTCAAAGAGCTGTATCATATTTATCTTGTATATATAGTTTCGTTGTTTGGTTCTGTCACTTAGTAGCTTGTAGAAAATCGGCCACATTTGCATAGCTTTTCTCTCTTGGTGTGTTGTATTGTAAGTATTATGTAAAAAGGTCTTTTCGGCTCTGTTCATTACTTTTTCAAGCATCTTAACAAAGAAGCGGATAGGTTTTTCTACTATTTCTCCTTCCCATGTAAATCTTAACTTATACTCTTTTGCACTTAGTATTTCTGGAATTAAGTAATTTGTAGAAGCAGCTCCTTTTTTGGCTTCTATATCTGCCAAATCATTTAATATATCACACGAATGTCCCTTGACCTTTGTAAGACAAATATTTATCCTTTTTGTCTTTATCACCTCTGCTATAGTTGTGACGAGGCCCCTATTTTTGGTTTTTAGCTATTGTCTAACTCTACTATTTTCTAGACCTCTCTTGATTGCTAGAATTGCTGCTTTACTATCTGTTCTTATCTCCACCCTTCCTTCGCTAGGTACTGTTAGCAACGCAAGTAGAATTGCTATAAGTTCAGCTCTTGTTGAGAAAAACCAATTCTTAGTCGCACAAGTTAGATTTCGCATAACGTGCCCTTCTTCTGATATTTGAACTACTCCACATCCTATCTTTAACCCTCCATTGCTCTCTGAAGTACCAAGTGAGCTATCTGTATAAAAGCATAAGCTACCTAGATTTCTATTTTGTTCTAGCGTTTCTATTACTTCCCCTTTAATTCTTTCATTTTTTACTAATCTATTTACTAGTACTATTTCCTACCTTTCACAACTTATAGCTATTCTCTCTTTCTTTTTTAATTTCCTTAACTCTTTGGTTTTAACTATTGATTTTTTATTTTCTTTTTCTAGTGCTTTTTCTATATATTGCTTCTCAAAGACTATTCTCGAACCATTCTCTGTTTTCTGAACTAGCTTCGATATATCTCTCAGTTTTCTATGTTTGACTATATATGTGCTTTTGTTTTCATCATATATTAGAATTTGTTGTTTAGAATTTTCTTGCCACTTTGTTATTTCTTTATAGTTCT